TTATTAATTTCTAATTTATAAAAAAAAAAACTACCAATACTTTTATTAAGGTTTATAGCTCTTTAGTAAAACTTTACAATAGTAAAGACTCAATAATATTCTTAATTTTTATATAGCTTTACTTTAATAAAATTACACAGTATAACTTTTTACAACTTCTTTTCACTTTATTTTTATTATTAATATTGCTCGAATTTAATGATGATGAATCGGAATTAGTTGAAGGTATCATTGTTGAAAGTTTAGGATGAGATATATTTTGTGCGGAATTAAAGGTTGTTGAAGATGATGAGGATCGTTGTGAATATTGCAATGGTTGTGATCGTTGTGAAGTAGAATTAAGCCTGTTTTGTTGATCATTAGGCCCTCTAAAACTTTTGGTAACTGTCTTAGTTTTGCTAACTATTTTTTGAGTAACTGCGACATAATTTTCAATCATAACTTTGGGTGAAGATTCTTGTTGAGGTGAAACCTTTATCGAATTATCAACTGATTGTCGTATCATTTGATTACCGTTAGATGATGTTGATGCCTACATGAATAAAATTATATATATACGTTTTTTTTTTTAAAGTTAGAATAAATTTATTTTATATATATAAATAAATTTTTTTTTTTTTTTTAAATAATTAAATCGTATTTCGTATTTACGATTGGATTTTCAACAATTTCATTGGTTTTTTTCTTGTTAAAAGTTTCACTTTTTATTTTAAACCCATGTTCTGAAAGAAAATCGAAATCTGTTGCGTGGTATGATCTTATAAGTAATGAATTAACACCTGAAAAATACCCATTTGTTGGATCATTATTTAATAGAACGGGTTCTTTTTTATATGGAAATCCATCAGGATGAGAATAATACTAAAAAAAAAAAAAAAAATTTGATAAATATTCAAAATAGTTAATTTTTGTTATATTTATATAAAGAAATTAAAAATTACATTACCGCTCTAGTAAATTCTGATCTTAATTTTACTACTAATTGCCTTTCGCTAACAAGTTCACAATTAGATACTTCACCGAATGGAATTACAACTTCATCTCTCATTCTACGAAAGCAGATAGAAACTTGACGAGAAGCTGGTCTAAATAAAAGTCCCATATCTGTAAAAGTTTTTGCCATCATACATTTTTCTTTCGTTGACGGTCCAAAATAAACATGACTTAATAGAACTTTGATAATATTTTCAGGGTGATCGAATTTTGCTGATGGTGCGAGAGCTGAAGATGTTCTTGATAATTCTTTATTAAATAATTTGGTTATGAAAATTAGTGTGAATTGAAAGTTAGATATCTCTTTAATTTCTATAATTCTTCGCTCAAACATTTACCAGTCGGTTGTTCAGGCGTTCTTGTACTAACTACCTCTACATCATCAATATCATCCATGTTTAATTAATTTTTGGATGAGCCGGAAAGAGATGATCAACAATTAATAAAAAAAAAAAAAAACGGAATAACTTGTAAATACGTAGTACGTAATTATTACATTTATGTGATTTATATGTGCACGTTCAAAATCTGTGTTACGCCGATGATGTCGTTATTTTATCTGACTGTACCAGTACCTCTAACATCGGCCTAAATTATGATGCATAAACTATGTCCGCTTTCCATGTAACCGATTATTAATGAGCGAATCAATTCGAATCGATTGCAAAGAATTTTTTTTTGGAATACAAAAGTTTAGCTTCTTAGGCAAAATTAAAATTTTCTTCGTGCAATCTTTTTATTTAATATATATACAGTCAGACCTCGTTATAGTCACTCTTGATATAGTTACAACCTTAACTTGAGCTATTATACGTAAAACATATAAATTTGACTTTTATATAGAAATATATATTTGCTTATAAGTTTATTAGTAAAGTGCTGCAACTTTATTATAAAGTTTTAGCAAAAAAAAACTGCTATTTTTAGTTGCTATTGTTTGCTTTTTAACGACGAAAAAAAACACCCAAAAATGTAAGATTAATTTAGGGGAACGTTAAAGCCAGGTTCGTTTAGGATTAGTTTTTTGATGCAGTTAGGGTTAATT